TCTGTTGTATTTCCCTTGGCACTGGGAGCAATGCACTGGAATTTTCCATTGTTATGACAAGTTAGTCCTTTGCTCTGGGGAGATAATATTAAGCAGGAGACAGACAATAAGTTTACAGATAGTTGGAGGTGGCATGATAGTTCCATGCATGGGCATTAGTACTACAGTAATGTTTCTTGCTATGGATGTGGGGCGGGGTGCATATTTGCAGGTGTGGAATCCAGTAAGGCTGTTGTGGTAATGCCCTGACTATTCAACATAACATGCAGGCTGCTTCCATGATTCAGGTCTCTGTTGAATGTTCAAAAGAATTGGCAAACCTGGTTGCTGAACAAGCATGAATGCAACACAAGAAAGGAGTGATAATGGCTTTATCATGCAAGGCTGCATACCCTGCTCTTAGGCAACCTGAGTCAACAGCCTCAGACAGAAGATGCTAGAGGCAATAGCAGCCTGATGAACTATTCCTCTTGAGCTTACAGGTGTTCCCCTCTGTTGGAGGGCAGAGCCATGGATGCCACATGGCCTGTCCTCAGCCTGCTAAATTAGCCTGCTGCCTCAGGAGTGGTAGGGAATGCCATCCCATCAGCTGCCAGTCCAGTTCGTTTCTGGATATGGAAAGGGGAAAGAGCACCATCCTGTCCTTTGCCTCAGGCATTAACATGTTTTGTGCTGGCCCTGCTATCATGCCCACCTTCAACCACTGGAAGACTATCCTGGGCTGCTAGTCTGACTGCCTCTTCAGTGTCTGATCTGTGACCTGGAGGCTGCTTTCAGGTGGAGGGGTCCTAATGCTAACTGTTAAGAGCATTAGGTGACTCTGCCATCTTTCAGGAGGCAGGTCTTAGGAAGCCTCTTCCATCTTTAACAATGCCTCGGGGTACTCGCCAAATTTTATTTTTGTTTTGTCTTCCCCTAAACCCCAGAGCATACCTAATCTGCACGGATCCCTTGCAAGCTGGGCAAATTCTTTATTGATTCCACATTCAAAATACTAGTCTGACCTTTCAAGCCTCTAAAGGAATTCATGACTTTGGCTATTATGCTTGCTTCTGTAATATCTGAGCGCTAGACATCCCTAATTCTCAGAAATTTGAATATTAATCCAGTAGGATTAAGTAGTGGAAAGGCCCATCCCAATCTTGTTCCAGAGTCTATTGAGAATGCTTTTTAAGTGACAGCTTAGGTAACTCAGTTAGGGTTCTGCATGCATAGAGATAATTAAAAGGATTCGGATTATATTTGTAATATTTGGCCATCTTTACCTTTATGCAAACATCTACCAGTCATAGAATAGTAGAGTTGGAAGGGGCCATGAAGGCCATTGGGTTCAACCCCCTGCTGTTGCAGGACACCAAGTGACACCATCCCACTCAGATGGCTGCCCAGTTTCTTTTTGAATGTCTCTAGTGTGGGAGAGGCCACCACCTGTCTAGGCAGCTGGTTCCACTGTTGTATTGCTCTGCCAGTGAGGAAGCTTTTCAGTTATTTATAGTAACATACCTTTGCACATGACCATTGGCATGAAAATTCAGTTTTCTTTGAATATGATGTCATCTTGGAATTTAAGTTGCCCTGGATACCTCATTATCCTGTTAAAATGATTTTTGTGGATGTGTAGTTTGTTGTTCAGTAATGTGTTTTTGAAGTCCTTGTGAAGAGATGATTATGTGATTGTCTTGACTTATGCATTCAACCCCTCTTGCAGTTCTTCCCATTCAAATTAATTGAGTGTTTCATTCCCTTTCTCTGTTGGTCGGTCTGTCTCTCTTCCCATAGCAAAGGTGCTGTGGATAGGGATAGGAAATCTCTCTCTCCCTCTCTCTCTCCCCCTCTCCCCCCCATTTTAAACCATATTAGGGATGAAAATAATGATGTGATGATAATGATAATGTTACCAATAACAAATTGGAAATCATTTTTTTAAAACCTTATATACTAGTATTGCTTGGCAATTTTGCATACTGCTTCCAAGCAAAAAGCTTTTGATTATCCTCCACCCTACTAGCTTTAAACTGTTTTAACTTTGCTGCAGCTTGTTTTTACTAGTCAAATTTCCATAGGCTACCCTAATTGATAGACATTCTATTTCAATTTGAGCCAGATTACCTGGGTGCATACTGCTACCTTCACCAGAAGGGGCAGCAGCGATTTACCTGGCCTTTAAAGAATTATGTGCACCTGAGGAAAAAATGTGATGAGGTCATTTGTACTGGTCATGAGTAACTGGTGCATAGATTTGATGGTGAATGGTTTGGCATTTGCTATCCAAGACTTAGTTTTTCAGGAACAGGTATGCATCAGGAACAGGTTCAGTGTCAAACATTGGGTACTGCTGAAAGATTCCTGATCTTATTTTTGTAAACGTCAGATCGGGTGTTTTGGGTTCTGCTCTGCTACTTCATGGGAACATAGGAGGTTGCCTTATATGGGGGCAGCAGACCACTGGTCCGTACTGGTTGATACTGACTGGATTTTAGACAGGAGTTTTCCCAGCCATGCCTGGAGATGCTGGGATTGAGCCTGTGATTTTCTGCATGCAAAGCATGTGTCCCACCATTGAACTACAGTTCCTCCCCATGATGATGTCTCCACATTAATAAATTAAAATGGCACCTGCTGTGATCCTTCCCGTGAAAGCTGCCAATACAGCCTATTCCTGCTGGTTTGGCCCTCAGGGGTCCAAAATGTGATTAGATGGCTGCTTCTTCATCAACTAGAATTCACCAGTCACTACTTTTACTTTCTCAAGATCAGACAAGATAGTGATGAATTGGCAGCTTTAAAACACACATCACTTAAATTGCTCGGCCCCACGCAAATATTGTTTTCCAGATTTTTTTTTTTTCTTTTTGGTGTCTTAGCCATTTTGTAAGTTCTGCCACTTTGTCAGTCCTTCTTCATTTGCACTGTTGCCCAACTGGTTTGTTCAATCTAAGAGGTGCTGAAGGCCTTCTTGAACAATGCTGCAGTTTTTAGGGCTTGAGGCTTTGGTAGGCAACCTTGGCTATGAGCAAAGTTTCTGTTGGCTTCTACATCAATAGTATAGATAGTTTGTAATGTGATAGAAATTACTAGGTTCATGTGCTTAGTCATATGAACAGGCTTTTTCCTGGAATTTACAGCCTGAACTTCTAGCTGGTATTCTTTGCTTGCATTTTGCAATAGTAATATAAGTATAGTGGCAACATTGAGTCTCAGTTTGACTTTGGTGGTAATGCTTCCATCCTATCCTACAGAAACTTGACCTATAAGCTCTTCTTGTGTCCTCCAGACATAACATAATAATGCAATGTTGTTGTTATTACATTGCATTTGTATCTTGCCTTTTTTCCTCTTGTGAGAGACCCAAGGTGGCTTGTAGAGCTTCATTTTTTCTTACAACCTTGTGAGGTAGGTTGGGCTGAGAGTCAGTGACTGGCCTAAAGTCAACCAGTCAGCTTCATGAGCAAGTAGGGACTATAACCCGGGTCTCCAGTCCAACTCTAACCACTTTATCTCACAAGTATTGGATTACAACTCCCATAATCTCAGGCAGTATGGAACTTGCTGTTGAAAAAATATAGAAGGCACCAGGTTGGGGAAGCCTACTTTAATTCATTGCCTTTATAGATGCACTGCTGTCTATTTGAACTTCAGTTTCTGGCTGGAGCCGGAGTTATGAAGTACCGTACAAGTTCAATAAACGTGCGGGTGATCTTTGCAAGTGTAGTTTGCTGTTGTAGAGGACGTCCGTATGAATTGCTGAATTGGTCAAGATTGTCAAGTAATCTAGAGCAAGACTGCTTGTTTGCAAACTCTGGCATAATCCTTTCTCCTCCTGCAGTTTTTGGATATGGTGCCAGGTGCTAGATACTTGCCAATATTATGTTATTTCCCATGGTATCTACAGCTTTCAGTGCAGATCCTGCAGTAAAATAACTGTTCCTGCATAGTGGCATTTGTAGATTATATTTATTTTTTCTGAGATAAGATTGTGATAGCTCACTCACTTGCATTTATGTTACACCTCATCACTAGGTTGACACATGCTATGGCTTCTTACTGAATTAATACATCTGGTGGCTCATGTAAACTATATCTCTTGGCCTCCATGTACATCTGTAGACATGAGTAAGCATTGCACTCGCTAGCAGACTTAGGCTGTGCAAAGAACAACCGAGGGTCCACTTTAAACATGCACCAGGCCTGGGCAGCCCCACACTGGTAAATTCACCCTGTCTGCCTGCGGTCCCTTTGAAAGCAGGCCTGTGTGAAGATGCGGGAAAATTAATTCTGTTTGCATATAACACAAACTTCCATAACTTCTTCTGTACAATGGCTTTGAGACACGTGGTATCAAATACACAAAGTGTTTGCCTCTGAATATCCCCTGTAAGGAGCTGCAGGCAAACTTTTTTATTCAGCTTGCCCTCAATTCTCTTGCCCTCAGTTCCTAACTCTGGCATTGACCTATTTTTCTAAAATGGAGGAATAATTCACATGTATGTTCCAGAATCTGGCATGGTTGATTACTTGATGTGTCACCATGGACTATCTGAACAGATTTATTGAAAAAAAATTATGTTGAGACAATGTCAAGTGATAAAAATATTTTGCCTGTTGAGTTTTACTTGCAGTGGTGGCTTGATTCTGTTATCTTTCTCACTTGATATTCCAGTCACTGAATGATGAATTCACCCAAACTCTTCCGGCTCCTGCATTCTTCAAAATTGAGGCTTTGGATCTAGATTTATATACTTGAAGTAGACCCAATGAAATCAATGCAATGTTACATTAGTTATGATTAAATCTTGATCCAATCACTGGGTGTTTCAAATAATCATAATCCATGTTGATCAAAAATCCAAGAAGTATTTGATGCAACCGCTTAAACTGTAAATCACAGTAACTATTGTCTGTTTGAAAATTTCCTAACTTGATTGTAGTGGACTGATATTATAGATTTAATGTAATTTCAATGAATGCCTGTTCCCTCTCTCTTCTTTTCTCTGTTTTAGGTATTACTTTAGAGTCCAGGCAAAGAATCCCCATGGTTATGGACCTATAAGCAATTCAATCTCCTATATCACAGAATCTGGTATGGTGGTTTAATGTATTGTTCAAAATTGGAAATTAGAACTGTGTTAGTAGGAGTCCGTTTTGTATTGAGCCAAAGATTAAAACAATTTGAGTAGTGAATTTTCTGCTGCAAAAGCTTTGGAAATGGCTACCATACACCTTTCTCCCATGCTGTGAGACTGGAAATATCCAGTCCCAAGTTTTTTTCTCTCTCTTTTAAAAACTTCCGCTGAATGTCCTCCACTTTGGCTTATTATATTTGACAGGAACAGGGCTTGGCAGTTTTTCAGTGATTTTTGTAAATCTGTTTAGAATTATTATCCCACCTTCACCTGAAGCTATAGGGCAAGTTGCCATAATTTACAAATCCAAAATTATACACTAAAAACATAATTCATAAAATGATTTAAAATTCCTGGAATCCAGCTAATGAGAAGAAGAGTAGGAGTCAGCCTAATGTTTAGAGGAATGGAAGAAAAGTTAGAGAGGAAGGTAAAACTAAATTTCAATAGAAGGTAAGGGTTAAGTTTAACACAGATCCCAATATAAGAGAGTGGGGAGAGAATTGAAGAGGAAAATAGGACATGCCCTGGGCAAGATTGCATTTCAAGATTTAATTGTAATCCTGAATTCAATTAATTTAATTTAAATTAATCAAATTAATCTAGCACCAAAGTCATGAACAGGATTTGTGTCAAAGAATCAAAGCTAAAGAGTCATCCTGTATGGGAAATGTTCAGTACTATCAGAACTTGCACTTCTGATAGTTTCAGCAAGACTGCCTTGGAGAGCATGTGGGAATACTGCAAGTCCCACAACCAAAAAGTGCTCACACTGATATGAATTACTCTCTCCTTGTGAGAGATCGTACCTACATTTCATAGGTAGTGGTCCTTTCCCGTGTCCCTGCAGTCATGCAAATCACAGGAGCCATTTGTACCACTCACCTGCAAAATGGCCTCCATGGGCAGCTCTCAGTTGCAAGCCAGGCTGCAGCTTTGAATACTCCTGGAGATAATTCTTTGAGAGTGGTTGGATGTACAAACACTCATTGTAACCCAAGGGCTTCAACAGGGGTGCAGAGCCTCAGGATTGGGGGCCAAAACTTGCCTGCTTGATTCCCTAGATCAGCGATGGTAAACCTTTTAGAGGCCGAGTGCCTAAACTGCAACCCAAAACCCACTTATTTATCACAAAGTGCCAACACTGCAATAAAACCTGAATACTAAGGTTTTAGTTTAGGGGGGAAAAACAGCCTGTCCAAGCAAATATATATATATATATCTATCTATCTATCTATCTATCTATCTATCTATCTATCTATCCTTGGCAGCGCACTGACCGACCATGCGAAAGCTTGGACGAGTTGCGGCTAATGAGTCACTGCTCATGATGTCATCGCCTGGCACTGCTACTCCTTTCCGAGCATGCGCATGGCCCCTATGTGCACTGTTATCCGATGCTCGGCTGCTGGGGCGACTGGGCTCGCGTGCTGACGGAGAGGGCGCTGCGTGTCCACTGCGGCACACATGCCATAGGTTCGCCACCACTGCCCTAGATGATCATGCCCTGCCCACTTCCCTTATCCACAAATCCTTTGGTAGTCTCCTGCTGCTTGTGTAGTTTTTCCCCATTCTAAAAAGTGAAAAGCCTCTTCTAAGCCTTAGTTACTGGCAGTAATTGCTTTAGCTTTTGCTTTGGTCTCACTGGCTTTTGTTTTCAGCCTTGCCCACTGGGATGCAGCTGTCAAGAGCATCTCTAAACTTCTAGCCCTCAGGCTGAAGGAGGCTCAGCTAGAAAATAAGGACAAAGGCCAGGGCAGAGCAATACTGGGTGGATATGGCTTTGTTGGACAGGCTGATAAAGCGAAAAACAGGGATAAAATAGACCCAGGAGGAAGATGGTAATATGGAGGATCAGGGCAGAAAAGAAGCTACCAACATTATGCAAAATCTATGAACCGCAATGATTCATAGGTTAGCAAAGTTGCCATCATTAGGCAGCTTGCCTTTTAAGCACACGTTTTGAAAGATACGTGGCACTTTCAGTAGGTGATAGAAGCAATAGGTTGTACAATCAAGGGCTTGAGCTAACTTTCTTCAGCCTGGTGGCCTTTGGATGTTTTGGACAAAACACCCAGACTGTAACCACTATGGGAAGTGGTCAGGGATGATAGGAGTTGTAGTCCAAAATATCTGGAGGAACCAGTTTGGGGAAGGCTAAGCTAAACACTGTCCTAGCAAAAACAACATGGCACAGCCTCTGTTACTGCTGACCAAGTAGAAGTGAGTTGGGAATAGAGCTTTCTTCTTTCTGGTTCAGGGAGCCAAAGGGTAATGAATGTTTCTGTATAGTAGGCCAGCTGCCCCGAAAGCTGCCTCATGTTGTCTGTGCTACCTTGCTAATGAAAGAAGAAAAAAGATTAAATAAAATAATAAAGGGGAAGTTTTTGTTCTGGATTGGCAACAAATTAGTTGTTGCTTTTAACCTTGAGCAACTGAGAGGCTGGAAGTAATTGTGTTTGAAAAAAAGATGGGAACCAATTTTCCATTAATTTTCTTTTCCTTTTTCAATTGAAACTTGTTTCCATCTCATACTGCTAATACTTTTTTTAGAGGTTAAGAGCTTTTAAATGATTTTTAAGCAAGGGTTGCTAAAGACTTTCTCCCCTTTCTTTTGCATGGATGATTGGTCATAAGTCAATTGGCTCAATAAAATCAGAATATACAGTATGTTCACCCATTAACTACTCTAGGTGCTCACTGGAGTTTAGTTCATTGGGCTTGCATCCCTTTTCTGCCCTTAATCTGAAACTAGATTTGTTACTTTAGAATTAATACACATTTATACATCAACATTCTATCTGGGAAAACAAATCAGCCATTAGAATCAAGTAAACAACCTTCTGCAATAACTTTAGGTTAGGGTTGTAACATTTAATCCAAACTTTTACCAGTTCTCAAGGAAAAGCAAGAGACCCTCCTAGTGCACTCTAGATATTTTGGACTAAAACTCCTAAAAAAAAAACAACCTTGCTGAGGTTTCTAGGACTTGCAGTCCAAAACAATGGAAAGGTACCTACTCTTGAATTAACAGGCTATTCCAAAACATGTTTACTCAGAAAGAAGGCCCATTCAGTTCAGTGGAACTTACTCTCAAGTAATTGGATTGCAGCCACAATTGGTTAGCTTAATTTATTTTTTAAGAAAGCCACCATAAGCTGACTTAAAAAGATGCTCTATTTAACTGGGGTGGGCATGTGTGTATGTATGTATTGAAGATGGCAGCCCTGTCTTAAAAGAGCCAGCCCCTCCTTTGTCCCCTGCTTAGGAAGAAGTACATTTTACCAGATGATACCTGCTACAATAAATCTAAAAACAAATTAAACTTTTTGGTTCAGAACTATTGTGGTTGCCCATATGCACATCTATATAAATGTAAATAACCAATTAATCGATTAATGAACTAGGACGCATACAATTGAAAGATAAATATTTCTTAAATGCAATGTCTTTCCTAATTTAGAGTTTTGTTAATAAGGAATGCATTTCTTTTTAAAAGTAAAGTACATTGTCAGAATGGACCAAACCAGTTGAATAATCAAGATTAGATGATTTACTAATTCGTTTCAATGCTAATATATAATGCAATCAGTATAGTCATCATCTTCTTTCATTGTGAATTGTTGGCTAGACAGTTACTGTGCCAGATATCTGACTGATTTTCTTTTTTTACTATTTTCTATTGGTGCCCCATTCAGCTGGCTATTGCAAATGATGCCAAGCTATTTCTTATCATTATTGCACAGCTAAATTGGGGGTTGGACTTCTATTATAGTTGGTTCTGGGCTCTTGCTTTATCATCTTGCTGTTCAAATGGTTGGCTTTTTGGCTTGGTATTTCATTTGGTGCCAAGCTACTGCTTAACAGATCTTGGTTTTGCGTATGTTCCCCATTTTCGTTAATTAGCTTACTTATGGCATGTCTCCACTTCTTTTCATTTTTAATAAATCCACAATAAGCATTCAGAAACCAATTTCTATACTGAGGATATTTATCACAACAAAAAATACTCAAATTTCATGTCCGGAAATGAAAATCACTGTTATAGATGCTAGTATAACAGAGTCTATGTTGAAAAAGAAAGGAACATTCCATACCAACTAAAAGACGTTGTGAATTGACTCCTGCATTGTATTTTGCTTTAAAAATTAATAGAAGCCAGAACACATTTTTCACCTACCAGCTTTTTTGATGTGCAGCATCTAGATAATTTTAGCTTTAGGGGATATAAATTTTGAGAGTAAACTATTCAAGCGTTTTCTTGTTCTCTTTACAGATAATCCTCTACTTATTGTCAGACCACCAGGTAAGTCTCACTGATCTTTTTAGCTATTGTCTTGTCCTGCAGATTACAAAGATTAGAATTATAACGTCATCTAACTGACTGAGAAAGTGAAAAGAACTGACTGCAAGCAGGGTGGGGAAAACTGTCTCTTTGCTATATATACAATGTCCTTTACAGCTTCTGTCACTGGTCAATCTGGAAGCAGGATGCTAAGTTTTAGGGTGAATTAATATCCACTACATTTTTGGAATGCTACTATATTGTATCATATTATATAATGGGGGTAAAATGAATTGTCATGTACCCCAATATTTTATGTTTAAAAAAAAGACAAAAACAGAGCATGGGAAGTGCACAATAACCCTCTCAAGTGGGCTCGAGTGTACTATATAATCAAAACCTCACTGCATGCTTCACAGGAGCAACTGTGGTCAAATATGGTCAATTTCATGGAGATTTCTTCATGGGGAACCATTGGACTGATAAATAGCCTAGGAATACTGAATGCTCTGATTCCGATTCCTTGTGTACTTCTCTTTCCACAAAAACTTCATTGTTTTGTTTGCACAGAGAATAGTGTGGCTAAAATGCTGGAAATAATGGCACATGTGAGAATCTTTGTGTACAAAAGAAGTCCATTAAGCTGCAAGTCAAGTTTTACTGGAGCCCATTTCAGCAGCGTTCAATGGGACTATTCCTGCGTGTTATTTATGCATTTATGTGTGCATGCAGGAGTATGGCTTGTTTCTTTTATAGTCAAAAGAATCTATTAAACAACAGACAAAATGTTGCTTTGTCTCTTCTTTTTTAAAATAAAAATGTTCTTCCCATGCCATAGAACAGTTGCCAGTAGCATTCGTGAGACGGACCCCACAGGGAAATATACTGAAAGCAATGGAGCAACTTTCATGCTGTAAACTTGTATATGGGTAGAGCTATAAGGTTTTTTAGAAGCAAGGGAAATTCTACTGTTTCATTTGTTTAGAATCCTTAGATAAGAATGTTCTTTGTATTCATGTAGCCAATTCACAGCCTGCAAAGGTCAAGTGCTTACATATTAAAGTATCCAGAGCCTTTCATGGGATTCTCAATGCTCTCAGTCCTATGCATGTATGCTCCAAGTAAAGCCCACTGACTTCAACGGGACCTACTTCCCAGTGGGTTCCACCACTCACATGGATATTTAAGTTGAACAGGCAGGTCCATGCACACTTTCTTTTGTGTTCACAAAACTGCCATCTCCACTGAAAAGTTCAGGATGCCGCACTGGTACTCCAGTTTACACCTTGGATTTTGAATCCAAGCTGATTCTCACAACTCTGTTAGTGAGTGAATTTTGGGCTACCAGATTTGTGATGAAGATTTATGTGCACTTAGTCATTTGGTGCAGGGTACCCAAAATAGTGGTTCATGATATCACCACCTGGCCTTCTTTTAGACATTTTGCAGTGTTATAGGGTTAGGGTTAGTTGTTTATTTTGACCAAAAAAATGCCAATTGTTTATGATGCTCTAAAAAAACAGTACCGTTACATCTCTGAAAAATCCTTCTTTTACAGCCCTCTTGGATTCCAAATGCAGCAGGATGCATTAAGATGATATATTTAATGTATCTTAGTAAGTCAGGGATGCTCCTGCATGTACTATTCTGTGATGTACTTGGCTATTGAAACAAGTTTATTTTAATGTCACCAAAAGCAAAGTCCTCCTGGATTGATGTTCAACAGGCAAAGGGCTCATACCCTGCAAGAACCTGACAGGCTGGGAGGAGCAAGGGATGCTTTTCAGCTTCCTGTTCCTCCATCTTTTTACTTAGAGCTAACAGGGCCTTTGTGCTCATCTAGCTTACCTACCCACCTGGGGCAAGGATGGGAACAGAGCTCCTCCCTTCAGTTCTCCTTGGCCACCATCATGCCTCCATTCCACTTTCTCCATCCTGCTTCCAAGGCAGCAGCAGTGAGCTCAGCAGGGGACCACTGTAGAGTTTTCCATGGCAACTGGGAGGGAGGATGGAGGGGAAATGCAAGGTTTTCTCTCTATTTGTGGCCTTTTGGGGGAGGAATATACTGCATCTTGTGGTCTCTGGGAAATCTTGTGCACCCCCCTGACTTGAAGCAGTTGTTACAGGATACTGTTCGTTGATTCATGAAGGGTCTGAGTGAAAAATACCAGGTTTACTTCCTGTGTGACATAAGCTGTGATCCTGAACACATTTAATTAGAAGTAATCTGTTTAATAAAATCAACAACTTCCCAAAAAACATGCCTAGGAATGTATTCTGATGCTAGCGAAGAAGACAGTTTATAAGTTTTTATTACAGTGCATTATTTAAGAGGATGAACTTGTCATAAACCCATTTGATGGCTGAACTTCTAGGTGTTCTCTTTTTGGCACTGCTTTTTAGGTGGTGAACCAATCTGGATCCCATTTTCTTTTAAATATGATTCGTCATACTCTGAATGCAGTGGCAAACAATACGTGAAGCGGACATGGTACAGGAAGTTTGTTGGTGTGGTTCTTTGTAATTCATTGAGATACAAGATTTTCCTCAGTGATGACCTAAGAGGTATGTACTTGGCTTATTTTACAGTACTGTGATTTGATAAAGAACACGCTTAAGAACAATCCACTGAAGATCAGTTAGATTGTTCTGCGGAAGCACCCTTGAGACCAGGCTGCTGACTACAACGGAAAAAAGTGGCCCAAGGATCATGTGGACTGACTTGGCTCTGCTTCTTTTCCATCCCACCCAGGGGATGCATGCTGGAAACATTGCTGATATTCCACCATGCTATTAGGTAGAAAGGTGTTTGGTGACAAAATTAGGGCTGAGCTGAAGTTCTTGGAAGTAGTCTAAAAAGAAAAGGAGGGAAGCAAAAAGAAAGCTCTTTCTATTACTTATCTCTTTTTATTACTCATCTCTTCTCAGAATGTATCTCGGCTTCTGTTGCCAGGAGCAGTAGTGGGTTAACTCTTGGTGGGCCACAGTATTTCCCCATCACTTCAGTTTGAGTGATGCTATGCCCTGATGTTGAGTTATGCCCACCCCAGTTTTCTTTAATAAAAATGCCAGTTGTTGCAGGTAAGCCCATCCCACCAAACCTAGAGAATTTCTTCTCCCTTAGAAATCTGAGAAAATGTCGCCCCAATTTCTTGGGCAACTGAATGGAAGTGGGTGGCATTTTCAGTTCAGCTCTAACTGGATTCAAACCATCTGAAAGAGAAGCATTGCACATAGAATTAGGATAGGACAGTTTATTGGGGTTAAGGGTTAGCCTCGGGGAAGTGTAAGCTATGCTCTTCCAAAGTATAGGAGTTGAGGAATTGCTGTCTGATTGCAATAATGCATGCTCCTAATGACACATGGGTTAATTGCACCTAACCAAGTGAGCAACCATTGTTCCTCTTAAGGCAGCTTTAAGCACAGTGGCAGGATGAGCTGGATGAGTGATCTTCAACTCAGCCAGTAACAGATAAACAAATCTGTTTTACTGAGTTCAGGAATGTTGACAAAGGTCTCTGGCTTGCTTTCATACTCTGCCAGTAGATTCTTCTGCCAGAACGCTCCTATTATTTCAGAAAAATATAAAAGTAATAAAGAGTTCACTTTTATGATCAGCACCCAGATTTCTAGATTAGTACAATTTCTGTCTGAGCCTTTACTTGCTCTTTCATTAGATAGACATCTCAACTATGATCTGTTGCTGAGGCAAGCTATTTCAACCAGAAATACTGCAAAACCCTTAAATGTCAGCCTACCAACATAGAAACCTTTGCAGTGTTCAGTGGTTTTTCTCTCTTCATTTTTGGGTGCATATGGATTTTTATGCATTTCTATATTTCCACATATTGGACTCTAATTTGAAAACCTAGTGCTGCTGGTGCCAATGGGTTCCACTTTTATCCCATCTTTGCATCTGTGAATATTCATGGTTGCATGGGTGAAATCTCCGTGACATCAATCCATCGTTTGTCCGGCATCTTCCCTGTACATGACAGCTTGCTTTAATGGGATCTTGTCCCCATCTGTCAGCAGATGATGGGTAGTGTTAGTTATATTGGTGGTGGTTCATATAAAGTACATTGCAGGAATATTCACCCCCTCTTTGACTTTTCCACAGTTTGTTGTGGTACAGCCTGGAGAAGAAACAATTTTAGTTGGCACTGTTACCACTTGATATTTACAAGATAATGCTGGAAGGTTCAAAATATTTTTATTGCAGCACAAGAAGATAACAAAAAAACAAAAACTAGCACTTCTTGTTGCATATGTATTCATCCATGCCTTTCCCATGCCATTCTATGCCATGCCTAAATAAGATCTGATGCAACTGACTGCCTCCTGAATGCCTATATTTATTTCATTTTTTCTTCTGGTTTGATTATAAGTATATAGGATCCACTTCTGTGCAATTGCAGTGCCACATGCTATCAGATTAAATATACCTGTTCCTGGAAGTTCTCAGTGTTTGTTAGAAAACATATCTAAACAAGCAACATCATGAAGACCAAGGAATGGTCAAAACAACTCCAGGATAAATTCTGTAGATGGGTTAGGTTATTTTTTTTTAATCCAGATTATAAACATCCTTGGAGCATCATTAAAACCATTATCACAGAATGGAAAGTATATGGCTGGGGAAGACCATCCACCAAAATTCAGTGACCACGTAAGGAGATAATTAATCAGAGGAGCAATCAAGAGATCAATGGTAACTCTGAAGGAGCTAGAAAGGTCCACAATGAGATGGGAGAAGCTGTCCATGGGACAGCTGTCACCTGGATGCTCCATGAAGCCAGGCTTTATGGAAGAGTGATGAGAAGATGGCTATTGCTGAAGCAAGGTTGTACCAAAGCATATTCGGAATTTGCAGAAATGCATGTGAAAGACAGAGGAAACATGTGGGAAAAGGTTCCCTGATTTGATGAGTCAAAAACTGAAGTTTTGTCCTTGCTGCAAAATGCTATGTGTGCTGCAAAACCAACATTGCTCATTGCTCTGAGAGCACCCTCCGCATGCTGAAGCATGGTGGTGGTGGCAGCATCAGGTTCTGGGAATGCTTTTCCTCTGCACTGGGAAAATAGTTAGGATCGAGGGCAAGATGGATGAAGCCAAATTCAGACCATTCTAGAGGAAAACCTGTTCGAGGCTGAAAGGGACCTGTGAGGGCAGAAGTGAACTTTCCGAAAGTTGTTTTTAAAAACGAGATCCTGGATGTCTTACAAGGCTCAATCAAAGCCCAGACCTCAATCTGATTGAGACTCTGTGACAAGACCTGAAAGTTGCCATTCACCATCCAACCTGACACAGCTGAAGCAGCTTGCTTAGGAAGACTAGGGAAACACTCTGGGATCCAGATGTGCAAAGCTGAGAGAGGCCTTCCCAAGAAAACTCACAGCTTCAATTGCTGCAAAAGGTGCTTCTACCAAGTATTTTATTGACTTAACCTATGTGCTGCAATAAAACTAGTTTGCTTCTTCACAGTGCTGAGCACCTTGTGTACATTAAGTGCTAACAGTGCCAGCTAAATAAACATCAGTTCCATAAAAAGAAGCCCATGGGGCGGGAGGGGGAGGCACTTCTGCAAGGCACTGTTGTGGAGCATGTTCTCTCTCTCTCTCTCTCTCTCTCTCTCTCTCTCTCTCTCTCTCTCTCTCTCTCTCTCTCTCTCTCTCTCACACACACACACACACACACACACACACACACACACACACACACTAGTACTTGGTTAAGAATTTCCTAATTCTGAGACAGAATGCTCTATTTGGAGGTGGTGAGTTTCGGAGGGGTCATTTTGACAGTTTCTCTCACCCAAGAGGATTCTTCTGTTTTAGAAGGGGAACTTAGGAGATAATTGTGGCAATTGTGAAAACAGTATTTTTTTAAAGGAGGCAGACATAAAGCTCATGTTGTCCCTTTATCAGGGTAAAGAACCTCAGACTTCGGTGCCAGATGCTGTCTCCTGGGATTCCAGTCTTGGTGTCCCAGATTCCCTGGCCCTACTTTTTATTTATTTTTCTTGACATAAAATACAGTGCCAAGGGATTTAAAACAAATACAACCAATGCATGCAAACCCACAAATTTATCTCTCTATCTGTCATTCAGCACTCTATGGGAGTTCAGAAAAGAAATTATTATTCTGTGCACCAGTAAATTTTCCAGTCACTTTAAGTCAATTAGTGATCCTCAACTACTTTTTAAAGAACTCCCTTTTACATCCCATTAATTATAGAATTTCCATTTGTCATTAAAGTCTCTAAGCAGTCTTCTGTTTACATAATCACTTAATTTTGTCATCACTGTGTATTCTGCCAGCTTATTTTTCCATTCTTCAGTTGTTGGAGAATCTGGTGATTTCCATTTAGAAGCAATTGTAATTCTTGCTACAGTTGTCATTTATTTGACTAACTCTGACATATTCTTTGAAAAAGTCTCTGGCATTATATTCAAAAGCATTTTCTTAGGACTCATAGGAAACTTAGTTTTAAAGATTTTTTTGTATTTCCACATGTATCCATTTCCAAAATCTTTTAATTATTTTACAAGTCCACCACATGTGGTAGAAAGTCCCATCTGCCCTGTTACATTTCCAACATTTTCTATTGTAGTTCTTAACTATTTTTAAATATCTTTTGGAGTAATATACCACCGATAAACCATTTTCTCTTAATGCTTGGCTACCTGTGCATTTAATACTTCCATAAAGCTTCCCAGTCACAAGGTGATATTTCTTCTTCAAGATTTTGCTTTTAAATTGACATACATTTCTTGTCTTGTTGATTTTCAGTGTCATGCTGTAGCAACTGTTTGTAAAGTCTCCCTAATAGATTATTATTGTGTTGTATAACCAGCAGAACAGCCCTACTCTGCTTCCTTAACCAAAAATAATTAGGTAGTTTTCCAACTTTTGTGCATTTCTACCCATTCTAAAAGGTTGAAATGATGGGCAGTAAGAACTTTAAGCTAAAATATGCTGGAAGTTTTGCCTCCCTGTGTCTCCATCCTCCCCTTTGTTCCCTCTACCACTGGAATATGACCACAGAGAACTTCTCTGAAATAGAATTTGTCCCTTTCCCAGGTAAATGACCCTACTTGATGTAATAAGCCTGTGACCCCAAAATGTAAAAAAATCCCTCTGAGAGGGAACAAAACATGCAAGGAATTTTTTATTTCCCTTTTGTTCTCCCAAATTTTAAGCCTATCATACCCATGGGAATTTCAGCCCAGCTTTCCCATATGCACAGCACCGTTTTCAGATGAAGAATTCCTTCCTTTGAGGGTAGCTTTGGGAAGAAGCCTGTTGCTGCACAGGAAACTTTCCATACTGGAGCAGTTGTAACTTTGCACCATTTTTACAGATACATTTTACAGCATTGGGGATAGCTGGGGAAGAGGTGAAGATCATTGCCAGTTTGTGGATTCGCACTTGGATGGAAGAACAGGACCACAGTCATATGTGGAAGCCTTGCCTCCTGTTCCAGGTAAAAATACCAAAAGCAACATGAAATGTATGGAGCACTGGACCAATAGCTTGCACACTAGTTGTGTTCTGGGCCATAGACAGCTTATGTCTGGGTCCTCATACGAATCTTTCTCCAAGCAACAAAGAGGTTGCTTTTGGTCACAAAGAAAGAACCATGCATATGCACTGAATTATATCCTTGCTGCATACTGTTAACTTGCCTTTGATGGGTTTTCCCCCATGTAGGCTGCATATGGTGTTTTTATGAGCCCTGGGTTTTTTGTGTAGAAAATGAAAGAGTCAGTCACCAAGTCATAGGACCAAGTCATAGGACTCTGCTATCTGAGCAAGGGCAGTTAACCCAGATGAGCACGGCCAGCTCTAAGGAGCCGAAATACGAAATGTGAGGGAAGTGTGGAAGTGACACAGTAGTCAACATCTTGGATAGAAGCCCACATCTGTGGAAAAGAATGCCAAGAGTCTGTTAATGCTTCATGGTCAAATTCCTTTGACAGATATCCTTTACAGATAGTCTTTTCTTTGATAAGCTTTTAAGACTGCTCCTATATTTACTTCATTCTTGCGTCTGGTTTGATTGCTAGTGCGATATTTCAGTCTCCTTTTTGCTGCTCTGCCCCACCTCCATTATCTTGCGCCCATCAGTGATATAGTGGTGAAGGTAGGCATGCAAGAGAGTGATTCTCGAGGCTCTTTCTCAGCTCCAAAGTACCAGTTCCTGCTGAGCACTAAGAGGGGAAATATAGTGCAACAGACTCACAGTGAGAGCACTGGTGTTTTTTCCTTGCGTGACACACTCCTGCTGCAATGGCAGGAGCGGGGGAGTTAGATTGGGCTGGCCTGCATCTGTCTAGTAGTCCCAACAGACCCTGTCCAGCACGCTTCCAGTTCAGTAGAAGGAAAGATTGTTTGCCCTGAGAGTAGTGATAAAAAGAACAGGAATTTAACCTGGAAGGGAGGTGACTAAGGCAGAAGGGCTGGAAATGAAAGGAAGCATGCAAAAGAAAACAGTCAATGATAGAGCTTGTGAGTAGAATCATAGACCAGAAAACAGCACATACTACCAAGGAAGGAGTAGACAATTTTCTCCTGTGCTTCACAAGACAGAAGCAATGTAATTTAAGGTGCTGCTTGGAACAAGGATGTACAAAGAGCTGAATCGTAGAAGAGTAAGGAGACCATGGTAGTTCCCATGATTGTCCAGGCGGTAGGGATGGACCTCACTCTTTTTCTTTGACCTTTTATTATGAGATCATTCCTTTGCTGCCGTAAAAAACTAACCCTGGTATTTTGACTCCTACAGGTTATTACCGCCAGTTTCGACAAGAGCCTGTATCGTTTGGACGCATTGGCTATATGACGCCTTATTATTATGTGGGCTGGTATGAGTGTGGTGTGCCCATTCCAGGGAAATGGTAACTGTGCTGCAGTCTCCATGCAGTTCGTAAGCGCAGTACATCCAGCGTGCCTTTCACATGGCTGTTATTGGAGGACTCTGAGCAGTCGGCTTGGCAAGGAAAGGAAAACAAGAACATGGAAAGGAAGAAGAAACCAGCAAAGACTCACTAAACGAATACCGTATAGGGTTTTGCCAACCTAAGTCTGTGGTGCTACTTGATTATTTTGCTTCAGAGCACGTACAGGATTCAGTCTGGGTCTCCTGCCTTGTTCTCCTTGCCTTTAAAGGCATGGAGATGTAGCCGCAATGGGTGCTATCTGTGCTCAATGAAACGTAATATATTTGGCTACTCACAAAAAATTGGAATCGTGATATATCTTGCAAGGAATGACTTAAGCATGCTGTGCTTGCATTATGGAATGCTAACCACTTTCCACTGCTATTAATGGAATCCTCTTGCCTTCCACTGGCAGAGTCTTGCGCTTCAGAATGTTGCTATGCGGTCATGCTGTGCTACTAAACACCCATGAAAACCAATCAATGTTACTGAAGACTTCTCCTGTAGGTTTGCACAAGGCTGGAAGAAATACCAGGTCACTGTGTCAATTCAACTTTTAAAAAAACCAGCAACAAAAAACAGTACTGTATGTTTGCAAAAGTATTTCTTAGAACTTGAGGTTTTCTTGTTGACTTTGATAAATACTTCAATGGGATGATGTTTTATGTAAAAGGTGCTATTAATTAACAAGTCTTCTAAAATTTATTCTGTGAAAAATATACTATGCACATAACCATGTAAAGAACCAGGCTTACCTTCTTGTGAGTATTGTCGAACTGTAATGGTGTTGATGTTTGTATAAAATAGAAGAATTCAGAATCAGGCTCCTAGCCATTTATGTTTTACTGAGAGTAAATTATTTGGTTCACATACCAAAGTTAACTAATATTCCAACATAAATGCTAATACAGTAATATACCAATGCATAAGTTAAACCCATATCCAATACTCCTTACAATCTCCATGCAGAGAATCAGAAACTAGTTAAGCTGAAATACAGAATGGAATTTGGTTTTATTGGAAATGAATGCCATTTCAGCTGCAAAACCATGCTTGCTTACATGAAATAAGCTGGCATTCAATTTGGGGCCAAACTACACATAACATTAAATGTGACACTGCAGTTTAGGATTTTTGTGCATATTTTAGAAAATGGAAATAGTCCCCATGAGGATCAGAATCATCTTAAGTATGAGAGGTGGGAGTTCAGTCCATTCCCACCAGCCATGATCCTGGCAAAACAATTTGCAACACTTTCAACTAAAAGTTGCCACTAATTCAGAGGAAATTTTCCCATTGGCACCAATGGAAGCATTTCACCCAATACAAATAGGAACAGCAGGAAGGTTGGTTTTGTTGGGTGTGCAGTGGGAAATAAGAAGAATTACATTTCCCTTCCTTGCCTGCGTGGGCCCAATCCTTCAAATCCCCCACCATTTTAGAAAAAAAGTGTACATTACATTCAATAAGGCATAAGTATGACTGTCCTCCATGTATAAGTACATTTGCTTGAATGCAAGAACTTTGTATTAGCTGCGAGAAAGATCAAGTTCCCCATTCAGCTGGAGTCGATGCTCGTACCTGCTGGTACCGGGGGGGGTGCACATCTCTGCCCCCACTACACCAGCAAATTTGCCACTGAAATTTAGCAGTGTACTCCTGGCAAACAAGCAGCTGATTCCCTCCACATTTATTGCTGGGAGGGCCTGGTTTTAAAGCATTGATCAGATCTCTTGAATAGCTAGGTCTAGCCAGAGAGGGTCAAACCCCACAGGCTAAAGAAGTTGAGAGACAAATGGCTCATAGGTAGGCCCATCATGCCTTTTTTTGCAGCTTCCACAGCCGCTGCAAAATTTACATGGTGGTTGGCCCAGCCACCAGCAAATCAAACAACTATATTTTCCCCTTGCCCTTTAATTGAGCCAATTCATTTAAAACCAGCATTCTCAGGTAGCTATGAGCCCTGGGAGGACGTCTCAATGGTGCATGCCCTGGAACTGCCTTAAATTATTGACACGCCAATTGGTGCTGGATGTGTTGACCATTTAAATGTCCCATCATCTGTGGCAGTCCTCTCCCACCTGATGCCTTTAGATGTTGTTTGACTTCAGTTCCCATCAATCTCAACTAGCATGGCCAATGGTCAGACATGCTAGGAAGTGCAGGCCAAAACACCTGAGGGGCACCAGATTGGGGAAGGTTGGCTTGGGGCATTCTGGGAAATTTAAATGGTGGACAGAGCTGACCACCCAACACTAATGGGAATGCTGGTGTTTCGCCGCCCCCACCCAGCTCTTTGCTGAGGACTTTGTCAAGCCTGGAGCTTGCTTTGTTTAAAACCTACATCCAACCAACACAATAGGCCTCCTGCACCAGCTCGGAATACTAACAATCATCTTTAAACAATTTGCACTTCTAAAACCCTGAAGCTGGAATGTAGTGTAACAAGACAGCAAGTTAAAACCACAAAGCCGTCACTTATCCAGCAATCTTTATGCTTTCCCCAAATAGGATTATTCTCTTAAAACTCACAAGGGCATTCAAGAATAATGGGCCCACCACATGAAGTACTGACATAGCTAAGCCCTTTTGGCAGGTTCCACCTGAGGGCCATAGTGGTGAACTCATCCCAAAGTCTCTAGGGCTCTCTGATCCTTCTGTCTTACTGTTTTAACCACCTTGGTTCTTCTTGCAAGATTTATGGGCTCTAGGGAACCATCCTATTTAAGGGACAATGCAATCACTTTCCATTGAACGACACTTTCCTTTTCCATATCGAGGCCTTTGTGCTATTAAGATTTACTATCTATATGCTCAGACTGCAACCAGGAACCAAGTTTCAAATTACACTGAGGAAGATTTAGCCTTTTCTTTAGCATGCTTGTGTGTGTGCACTTGGCCCCAGCAATTTGGCTTGGTACCAGCACCTGTGGGGAGAGGAGGAATAAACCACCTCCCACCATTTGTTTCCTGAAATTCTTCCCCCTCCATGTTCACCAGTTGAGCCTTTTCCCCCCTTTTGTTTACCCCTACCCAGAGCAGGAATTTTTAGAAGCAAACATTGTAGGGAAGGTTTAATCCTGCACATGCCTATACAAAAGAGCTATCCCTGAACTGCATGCTATAATATATAATAAGCACAATGCAGAGCCTGAGAGATCTTTACATGGCTTCCTGAACCACCTCCACCATCACCATCATTACATTTATACCCTGCCTTTCTTCCTCTCGCAAGGAAGCCAAGGCAGCTTCTCCCAATTGTATCTTCACAACAACAACCCTGTGAGGTGGGTTAGGCTGAGAGCCTCCGACTGGCCCAAAGTCACCCAGTAAGCCAAGGCTGCAGCCAGAGTGTGTTGATGATGCACATTGCTAGTTCTACTTGCAGCTCAGCTGTTCATCTGACCCTGCTCTGAAGCCTCTCTGGGATTATGTCTCTCTTTCCCCTCCTCTCCCCCCCACACCTCCAGCTCTGGCATGTGTCAGAGCTGCCCTTCGAGCTGATCTGCCTGTTTTTGTGTTTAAAAAGTCTTTTGGAACAAATTCCCAGCACCAGATGGCTGCAATTTACAGTTTTCTTAGCTTGTTTGTTGATCCAGCATTGTTCTTGAATAAACATAAATGTTATATTTCAGCTTTTAGTTGTCATCAAACACTGAATCATATCAGCATCTGCATCATCATTGATGATAATGATGTAATTCTTTTATCTGTAATAAAGCTGTATAACATTGTCCGTGTGTTGGCAGGGGGGCAGGGGGAACCACCAACTTATTCAGGACTGCTGGTGTACTCTTTTCTGCACCAAGGATGGCCAGCTTCTGTAAGCTTGGGTGGCCACCTTTTTCCAGAGAACTGGAATACTGGAAGTGCATTTGCTAAACAAGCCAACCCCTCTGCCCCCCTCCCCATTATCACGCCTTATCAGGATCCTCAATAAACACAGTGATATCATAGCTATATGGAGAACATCCCAACAGACCTAGCTACAACATCCAACTAGGAAATTTTCATTATATAAAGTGTCCCAGGGGAAGGAGCTTGAGAGAGGTCTCCTGGCAGGCAGGTGCCAGTGCCTTGCGTCCTGCACCACCACTGCTCTGTCCCAATGGCAGGTCCAAGACCCCTTAGCTCTTTGTCCATCTAGGCTGCATTATCAATCTGCCTTCCAGTCAGTTGACACAAAGGGTCAGTCTCAGTGCTACATGCAATACAGTACCTGTCCCAGAGCCATCTCCTCCACCTGAGCAACTTGTTGCTGGAGTAAGCTTTGGAATGAACCCTCTCTACCTTACCTGGACTTTGGACCTCCAACCCTCTATTGTGTTCTCCTTTGGATCCAACTGACTTTGATCACATCCCTTTCTCTGGCTCTTCTAATTTCTGAGTTCCATGGAAAGAAAAAAATGGTGCGATTATTATATTTATCAATTATAAATATATTTTGGTTTACCTACCCTCAAACTTTGAGAATGTTCATGTGTATGAATTCTTTCAGGCATTTTTATGTGCAAATGAGTCTAATCCTGGTTTTTGTGTTGTTACTCATTATTTTCATAAATCAATGCATTTTGGTATGCACTTTTTAAAATCTGAAAACTCCATTGCAAAATTCAGAGAAATGCAATTTTCAAAGAACAGCTGAGTTCAACAGTGCAAAATAAAGAAGTCCACAATAAATGCAAGCCAAGCACATTTTATTCCTGTTCTGATTAGCAGCCCCCTGGACTGACAAACTGGAAGTTGACTCCTTTTGAAGGCTCAGAGTCACACCCCAACAGTTTCCTCCTCCTGCATCCAAAGGGTTCATAAGACCTGATTGCCAAGAGGGATGATGAACAGCTCCTCAGAGCCCTGACCTTGCCAAAAGGCAGAGTGAGGCAGCCGTCTCAGATGGTGGATGCTGATGAGCGGGGAGGGGTTGGGGTACAAAACTCCAGGTGTGGCACAGCCTGCCCTGAATCCTTGAGCCTCTCCCGTTGCCCTCAGGTTCTGTGGCAGACCTTGTCTTATCACCAGGGGTGAAGGAAGATTCAGTGCATCCCAGAGCACGAATGGGGTACCACCTTGTTTTGGGAACAGCAAGAGTAGAGATGGATCACAAGTGGCCTTCATACTCTGCACTGAATTCCTCTCTTTCATACAGTATCAATATCCCTCTATCAGTAATTAGAAGTCTTTGTCATCAATTCTGTATTTACACCAATCTGTTCTTATTAGGGCTATAATTCCTGACTATAATTTTGCATATGTTGCTGATTGGCAGTGCTGTTTTTTCCATCTCATTCTTGTTTCCATCTAGTCCCGTTTTCTTTGTTAAAGTTCTAATGTGCAGCACCCTCTCTATGTAACTTTTCAGTCAGATGTAGCCTTATCCAACCTCTTACTGAAATATGAAACTAATTTCTCTAAGATATTCACAATTATCTTAAAAGCAACATTATGAAACCTCTCCCACAAACCTTTTTGGATTCAAAACTCTTTTAACATGTGATGTGAGCTTGTTTTACAAGTTCATGAAGGAATGTTTTCTGAATGCATGTGGTTTGTATCCAAGAATCTTTCAGAGCAGGATTTTCCATTTCTTTATGTGGGAGTGTTCACTATAATATCTAATTCCCTTTAAGACCATCTTTTTAACTGCTATGCCAGCAAATAAATGTTCAGGATCCAGTATGATCACTGCAATAACATAATGCGGCCTAGATAGCGCATAAATAAGCACTGGATTACGGCCAATTTTGAACTGCAGGTACTTATCATAACAGCCCCCAAAACTGCACCTCCAGGGCAAGTCCAAAATT